ATATTGACTGGTTGGAGCGAGTCCAGAGGAGGCCACGAAGATGCTCAGAGGGCTGGAGCACCTCTGCTATGGGGACAGGATGGGAGAGTTGGGCTTGTTAAGTCTGGTGAAAAAGGGGCTCCAAGGAGACTTTACAGCAGCCTTCCAGTACCCGAAGGGGCCAACAAGCAAGCTGGAGAGCGACTTTCTACAAGGGCCTGTAGTGACAGGACAAGGGGTAACGGGTTTAAATTGAAAGTGGGGAGGTTTAGATTGGATATCAGGAAGAAATTCTTCCCGAAGAGGGTGGTGAGGCACTGGAACAGGTTGCCCAGAGAAGCTGTGGATGCCCCATCCCTGGAAGTGTTCAAGGCCAGGCTGGATGAGGCTTTGAGCAACCTGGTCTAGTGGAAGGTGTACCTGCCCATGGCAGGGGGGGTGGAACTGGATGGGCTTTTAGGGCCCTTCCCACCCAAACCATTCTGTGATTCTATGAATTCACAAACCCCTTTTCTGTATAGATTCCTTACTTGAAGGAACACACCAAATAATTACTGAGGAACATGAGTAGTCACCTAGACAGTGGCCTGTTGAGATCTGTATATTTACCGTTTGAAGAAGTGCTTGTGACTGCTAGAGTACTACTTCATGAAATGTCTGAAACTCACCTTGCAAGGAAGTACCAGGAATACCAGGAAAAGTTTTATTTGAAGAAGCACGAAATCCAGAATTCTAAAAATAAAGCATCAACAGATTACACTGATGGAAAAATTCACATATTTCACAGCTTGCCTTGGAAGAAATGACTGGGAACCTGGAAATAAGGGCGTGATAGAATATTTAAAACTACAAGTCTAATGATTCCAATAGAACTTAGTAACACTTAATTTTTTGGCCTCAGCTTCTTCATCTATAAAACGAATAAAACATTATTTCAGAAGGACAACACCCTAATTAACAGGGTCACTGTTTGAGATTATTTTAACCAGTGACACAGTCTATTAAAGTTTAACAAAATATTTTTATAACCATTTTCAAAGTTATTATATATAGTGAGCTTCCTCACATGATCCAGTAGACCTGATAAACTTATGTTTTAGCAAATAAATGTCTCTGAAATTTGTAAAACAACCCTACTGACCAAATAGCACCAGAAATATGCTGTCACTACTTAAAAAAAAAGATTAGAGCTGGAAGCTGGTTAAAGTCCTTCTCCAAATATCAGCAAAGAATACACAATCATTTTTTTACAAGGTCCTTAAGTACCTGACTCGAAGAGTTGTGACTGTCAAAAACTCTGGGGTAACTGCCATTGTATGTGCTCGAAAAATCCAGGTCAACTCTCTGAAGATTAACAATTTTTCTGTGAGAAAACTGTTGATATTTTGTTGAAGGAAAATAATGTTCTGGTGTACTTTTCAGTCGCTTTACTGGTGAACAAAGAAGACCATTTGGAAAATTTCCTAACCTTTTAGCTCTGGGAATTGTAGATGAAGTTCGAACAGGCGAGTTAACAAGAGCATTTACAGTTTCAGACACCTGTATTCCTTCATATTTCCTTAAATTTGAAGCTCTCCGAAATCCAGAAAGTTTTGGAACAGTCTCACTACACAATTTCTCATAGATCTTGTCAAATTCTCTATCGTACTGTGTATTGCACATCAGAGAATCACTTAGATTTCTCTTCACTAGCTTTCCTTTCTCTTCAAGTTTCTGTGAACTTGAAAGAGGTCTTGTCAATGTCAAAGGCTTTTTGATTTCTTTGGAACACAGTTTATAGTAGAGTTTTTCGAATGCATCTTCATGTTTCTGGGGCATCCTGGAAGGACTCTGGTCCATAGGCAATGAGGAAAATGAGTGTTGGCGCTGGAAAGAAATTCGTCTTTCAGAAATTATTTTTTCCGGATTTATGAGCAAAGTATTTGATGCTCTTGCAAGAGAACAGTTTGCAACAGGTTTAGAAGCGTTACTATTGCCGTAAGAGCTGCAAGCAGGTGAACCTAATTCTGAGGTATTACCACAAGGGAAGTCAGTTTTTTGAGTTTTACTGTCGTTTACCAGATGAAGCGCTGTTGAGCCTGAACTGGCAGTAGATGGTATAAAACGATATTCCAAGGAACATTTGTAAGGCAATTTTTCATTTTCTTTGCACACTGAATTCACGGGTGAGACAGCAGCCTGCAACTCGTCTTCAACTAGAAAAGTCTCTCCCATTCTAGCCATAACATTAGGAAAAAGAGTCTGTCTGGAGAATTTTTGGCCTTCTCCAAATACCAAATGATGTTCCAAACTTGAGTCAGAGTAGTCCATTTTGTTTTCATTTGTATCGATGTAAGAATAAGGTACCAGATCAGATAAATTATTAATGGAACACCTGTTATCACAATGTGCTCTGTTGTCCTTAACAAAATTTTGATTATGGATGTCTTCACTTCTACTGCTGCATATGCTGGGTAGTGCTTGCTTCGGTTTATGAGGTCTGAACCCTCTTATTTTGTCTACAGTGACATTGAGCTTTGGTCTTCTGGAATGCCATCTTTTGTGTCTTAAGTGTCCAAATATGTATTTTAACTCTCTTCTCCGAGACTGCTTTGTCATGAGCCTTGTAAGTATCCCTACCATCGCTGGATACAGGTCTGCAAGAGTTACACTGCTCCAGGAGCATTCCTCATCTGCACACTGGTATTCTTCCAAGATACTATCATAGAAAATTCTCTTCAGTTCAGGAGACGGTTGATGCCTGGGTAAAGTTATTGTATCTGATGAAATGGGAACACCAGAAAATTGCAACTGTTGAGGTCCAGACAAAGAACAATCATTTGACAACTCCACTCTCTTTCTGCAAACAGCATTTTGGTTGCCTATTAAAAAAATAAAAAACCCAAACAAATTTATCACAAAAACAGAAGAAAAAAATCCCAAACTTATTAGGGTACTTCAAGTAATGTATCACATGACTTAGAATGTGGTACAGTCTTGCTGTAATAGCATATTTCCTTCAACTTTTTTTGCCAGATTAAATGGATAATTAACATAAAATTCATTAGGAAAAAATTAGGTTTGTCCTAACAATATTGAATTAACATACTGCAGAAGATAAATGAAATATGTTGGAAAAAATATATTAAAATAATGGCTTTATATATAGACACAAAATATTTTCATTGCAGAGGCAGACTGTTTCGCTTTGTGATTGCTGACCAGGAGGAACAGCCTTATCCTACAGGTTTTGTTACTCTATTTCCATATTACTTGAAAGCTTTGTACGTGGCTACCACCTGTGCAGCTTTGCTTACCGTAAAGCACAATGAAGATAATGTTTTTTCTAGATGTTAGGTTTGAAATATTTACACCAAAATTCTATCTTAGGTTAGCATCAAGTCTGGCGAGCTTCTGAAGAAAAAGAGTTTACTAGCAGAGTACCATTTTGAGTATAAATTACCAGCAGACCCAAAGCCATTTATTACATTCCTTGAATTTCAGAGAAGCAGAAGCAAAAAACTTACACTCTCATTTAATTGACCTTACTGGTGCTGAATTCCGTAATTATGTTTTTTTTTTTTTTCCTGGGGCTATTTAAGAAAAGCTGGGCTTATGTACACTAGTTAGTTATTTTCTATTTTTCAAATACATTTTGCCAGAAGCAAACTCACATCTAACTTCTCTTCAAGAATCCAGCCTGTTGAAATTTTCTGTTGGATAAACAGTGCCTTTGTGTTTCCAATACATTAATTATTTATTTCTAATAAATTTTAATACAAACATATTTTGTAACTAATATATTTGACCAACACCCAAAATATTTAGTTGTACCAGTCAGCTTTTGCACTGGCAAGGATAAATGAAGGCCTTCTGATGAACCTGGAGGTGCCATCTGAAAAAACAAAAAAGAAAGGCATTTTAATAACTTTAATGTGAACAAAATTCAGGATAACATAAAACTTTGACTCCTCCTACTTTCTTTTTACTATACTAGGTCCTGTACAGAGTTATAGTCCTAATGGCCTTAGTAAATTTCAGACAAGTAAGAAGTCTAGTTTAAGACTTCAGTAAGAATTTTTAAGAAATAACAGTTTAATCTTGGAAATCTATTTATCACCTTTGCAACTTCTACATTATGTATCATATTTTAATCCCTTTCTCAAATATGAGAATTTATACTTGAGTACATATACCTGGATAATCAGTACATCTCAACTCCAGTAGGAAACAGAAACCGTATCATGTAACGTTTAACTTTTAGCTTTATTTTGGTTTTGACGGTGAGGCA